ACTGCCTTCCTTTCTCCTCTTGCCAAGAACGTGATCCATCCCCAACCTTGATCCAACTCAGCTCGATCGAGCTGCCTGTACTTGTGGAACCTCATTGATGCCAAGAACTCACAAGTGAGCTCCTTGTATGACTCCAAGCGGTAAGAGAAAAACTTGGCCAAGCGCATGTTCTTGAGGACCAGCTCCACATCACAAAGATCCCAAGAGCCCTCATTGTGTCATCATGTGGGTACTTGGTCTCCACAAAGTCCATGGAGAAGAGAGCATCATAATGCTCTTGGTACATGGGGAGCTCATCCTCTTCTTCCTCTGACTCCTCCTCTTCCATGGGCACATTCTCATTGCTCTCATGCTCACTCTCCTCAATCTCTTGATTGACCTCCTCACCCTCTTCTTCACTTGGGGACTCATCATCCTCCTCATGTGGGATGTTCACCCCAATTTCAAACTCTCCTACTTCGCTCTCACTGCTGATAGGATCATTCCTTCTCTTGGTTCTTCTCTCTTCCCTCACCCTCTCAATCTCTTCCTCATCCTCCTTGGTTAGTGTCTTGAGTATCCTCCTTGCTCCTCTTGTTACCTCCCTCTTTGTGAATGCTGGCTTGCTTCCTTCACCTCTCAACATCTTAAATGGTTGCTTCTTGAAGTTGGGTTCCTGAAATGCATCAAAAACTCAAGGAATTAGAGTTGTAATCGTTGGTTCGGCCAACTCGACACTCAACTCGATCGAGTCAAAAAACTCGAGTGACAAACTCGATCGAGTCAAGTGAAAACAGAGTATAACCGAACCTAATCAAATTAAGAGCTGGAAAAGGATGCTTAATCAATCAAATTGAACCAAAACAACAGTATGGAACAATGAGCAATTCTAGTGAAGCACTAGCAACTTAACCAATACCAAACTCAAATTCAATTTCAAGCACATGCAACAAGTTCTAATGATAAAACAGAGGTGAGGTGAGGCAAATTCACAAGATTATACAAATATGAAGAAAAAGGAAAGCAATTACTCAAGACAAGTCCTCAAGGGACACATGCAATCAAAAATCAAGAGAGAAAACAAGCAATAGAGAGGAATTCGAGATGAAGGATCAAGGGTTTAGGGTTCATACCTTGCTTGAATGATGGAAGAATCACAGTAGCTAGAACTAAGCAAAACAAGAAGAGAACAATAGAAATCGCAAAAACTTAGAGAGGAAGAGAGGAAATCGATTTTTTTCTTGTGGTGAAGATAGAGAGAGATGGTTTCAGAAATTTAGGGTGTGGGAGAGTGGGATTCGATCGAGTTATGGGGAAGAGGGAGTGTTTGAGATGTGTGGTTGAGATTAAAAGTGAAATAAAGAGGGGACAAGAAGCTAGGGTTTCTCTGATCAAATTAGGGTAGTGGGGGACCAAAATCAGCTTGTGGGACCCACTCCCTTGACCAAGAAAACGGTTATGAATTTGAAATTCAAAAACTTACCTCGGTCGAGTTGCCCTTGTTTCTAGCTCGATCGAGCTGTCGGTCGAGCTGGCTCTCTTGACACCTAAACTTAACTTATTCAAAGGTTAAAAACATAAAATAGATAGAAATTGCATAAATAGAATATGTACAAGGATAAACATGGGACTTCCTCCCAAGTGAGCTTGTTTAAGGTAGCTTGACCTTTATAGGCATTGGTTGAGCTAGTCCCACCATCAAGGGTGATAGTGAGGACTTGAGACAGAAGCTCCTTTAGCTTGGTTGGGTCCCTGGATTGTTCTGAAGTCACCAAGGCTTTGGCTCTAGAGAATGGCCTTGATCTCCCCTTGTACCTTATCTTGTACTCAATCTTCCCATTTTCAAACTTGGTGGGGAACAAAGTCATTGTGAGCTGAGATGGCTTGATGAAGGGGCCTGAGCTGGTGGATCCTTTCTTTTATCCCTGGTCTTGCCTTAGAGGCTACATCCTCCCCTTCTTTTAGAGCCCTTCCTAGTGGCTCATCAAACAAAGCTTGAAGGCTCTCTTCATCAAGCACACAAGGGGCTTGAACAAGTCTATCAGCTCGTGGTCTATCAGACGTGGTTTCTCAACTCTAGCCCTCTCAAGACGTGGCTTCTCAATCCTTGGTCCTCTCTCATCCTTATCCTTCCCAACTCTTGGTTCTTTGTCAACCTTTCCTTCACAACCTTTGTAGCTCCATGACTCTTAGAACTGAGAGTGGTACTGTCAATTGTGGCACAAAAGTCTGAACCTCTAGGCTGCAAGCGATATGACACCAAACTATTCACCTTGTGAAGGATCACTTCTTGCTTGTGAAAGTCTATTGAAGCGCCAACTGTACTAAGGAATGGGGTTCCCAATAACAGAGGTAGATCCTTCTCTTCTTCCATTTCCATCACAGTGAGATCAGTTTGGATGATGCATTCTCCAATTTTCAAGTGATAGTTCTTGAACACTCCAAGAGGAGACTTAGAAGTTGCATCTCCAAACATGATTGAAGTAGTAGGGCGCTGCAAGGCTCCAGCAATGCCTAGCTTCTCTGCCATGGAGAGAGAGATCAGATTGATGCTTGCTCCAGAATCCACTAAGGCATTGTCAATCTCAAGATGCCCAAGTGTGCAAGGGAGAGTGAATTTCCCTTGATCCTTGACCTTTGGTAGGAAGGTGGGTGAAGTAAGCAGGTTGAACTGATGAGTAGACTCTTGTAGGACCTCTGAAACTTTATCACTGTTGGCTAGAACATCCTTGACCATTTGCATTTGATCAAATGCCTCACTCATGCTATCCATAGAGGCAACTCAATTCCAATCCCACTGAGATCTCTTCTGAACTTGTGAATCACTTCCTTGTGACCTTGACTAAGTAGGCGAGACGAGGAAGCGGCAACCGGTTGGTAAGGATCAAGCAAAACTGGCTGTCGGACAGAAGAGGTCGGACTCGATCGAGCTAGAGTTGGACTCGATCGAGCTGCCGATCGAGCTTGTGTGCGAGCTCAACTGGTGAAGTGTGAATGGCCACAGTAGGTGCCTGCACTTCTGGTTGATCAATCTGGACTCCAGGAGCCTCAGCAGCAACAATCTCTTCATCATTCAGCAGTAAACAAAAATCTTCAATGACCCTTTCTTGATCCTCTTCTTCAACAAGTCCTTCTTGAGTGAAGATGACCTTGCACTGTTCCTTGGGGTTCTGAATAGCTTTACCAGGTAGTTGTCCTTGCTTTGTAGCAGCAGCAACAGAAGAAGCATGATTCTCCAGAGAGTAAACCCTTGTGTTGAGGTTCTCGATCTTAGAGTTTATTTCAGCTAGCTTCTTGCTTGTGTCCACTACCCCATCAGCTTGCCCTTGAAGTAGTTGCTTTAGCATTGCCTTGAGCTCATTCTCTTGTGAAGGTGCAGGCTGGGGCGGTTGGTGGGGGAAGCCTGGTGGGATATTCATTTGTTGTCCAGGGAAAGTGCCTTGTGGTCCTTGGTAATTGTTCTTTTGACCATACCCATGTTGTGGCACCTGACTCGATCGAGCTGCTTGTTGTTGAGGATATACTTGGTCCTGAGGGTTAGCAACATCAGTGTTGCGGTATGACATGGCAGGGTTGGACTTGTAATTATAGTATCCTTTGTTGTAACCTCCTTGCCCATTGCTCATGTAGCACACCTCAGCAAATTGTGTATCCTCCCCTTCTTGGACTGGTTCCATCTCCTCAGCAGACACAAAGTTGACTTTCTTCATTGTGGACTGAGCTAGGATCAGCTTATCCAACTTCTCATTCAATGCCTTAACATCTTTTCTCAACTTTTCGTCTGACTCGATCGAGTGGTGGGTCGAGCTCCGATTGGTGCGATCATACTCTTCTCCATAGCTTCCATTTGAGTTAGCTATGTTCTCCACAAGTTGCCAGCCATCATCTACATCCTGGTTGAGGAAGTTCCCATTGCTAGCTGTGTCTAGCATCTCCCTATACCTAGGCAAGCATCCTCTATAAAGAGTGGAGAGTAGTGATTCATTGTTGAATCCATGGTGTGGGCACTGACTTGTGTACCCTTTGAACCTCTCCCAAGCCTCTGCGAATGTCTCATTGTTTCGCTGGATGAAGCTGGATATCTCTCCTCTAAGCTTGGCTGTGCGACCGGTGGAGAAAAACTTAGCAAGAAAGGCCTTCTTGCATTCATCCCAAGTGGTGATTGTGCCATGGGGCAAGCTCTTCTCCCATTGGTGAGCTTTGTCAGCTAGAGACATAGGAAAGAGTCTCAGCTTGATGGCATCTTCAGAGACACCATTGATCTTTGTCAAATCACAAAGCCTATCAAACTCATCAAGGTGGTCAATGGGGTCTTCACTTGGCAATCCATGGAACATCTTGTTCTGGACAAGGTTGATCATTCCCAGCTTGATCTCAAAGTTGTGGTTCTGCACTGGTGGTGGAACAATCCCTTGTCTCTGTTGGTGGCGGTTTGGAGCATCTCCTTGACCAATCGGTCGAGTTTGCCTAGCTCGACCGAGTCCATTCCCAAAGGGTTTCCATTCCCCTCTGGTACATCCATTGTATCAGCAACAAGCACCTCAGGTTCCTCTTGTACCCTCTGTGACCTCTGAACCTTCTTTCTACCCGTTGTAAAGTCTAGCTCGACCAAGTCCTCAGTAGACCGACTCGATCGAGTTCGCATACACCTGCAAAAAGAGACAAAAACCCAGCAGTACAATAGAACAGGGGTGGTATAGCTTGATCGTCCAAGTGCGTTTGAAACTCAAATGCAACAAACTCACTCTATGAGAATATGAAACAACCAGGAAGTCAAGCAAGCAGTAATGATTTTTGGTAACACTAACAACCTAAATGAAACAGAAATGAAATGCAGAAAGTAAATAAAGCAGTGAAGTAACAGCTCGACCAAGAACTCGAGTCGAGTCAGAACAAAGTACCAGCTCGATCGAGTTTGGGGACGAGTTGAGACAAAAAGCGATAAAGGTAACGACTTTAACAAGATAATGCGAGAATTAGGGTTCAAGACAGGGTTTTGCAATCAGAGGAAACTACACTTAATCCATCCAGCTCTTAAAACTCCTTGTATCAAGGCTTCGCTTGATATTGGGCTTCTCAATGCCTAACCAACCCTTTCCCAAGGTGAAGGTTATCAACCAAGGAATGATCTCAGAAACAGGGGGTTAGCCAGTGAGAGTCAAACCTTGGAGGCTATAGGATCATTGCCCAAACTAATCCATCCAACCCCTTAGACCTCTATTTCTAGAGCAAGAGATATTGGAGCTCTTAGTGGATCTTTTCCAGCAATTGCCATCACTTTCGTGTGGGGAATCGCCTAAGGACTTACAAGCCAGGGGTAGTGGTCATGTAGCCTTAAGATCTATCCAAAAGAGAGAGAATCTAGATTAAGACCATAAGCTAGAAGGATTAAGCATATGAAACCTCTAATCTATCCCATCTCAAACCCCAATGGGTAACTACTCACTACACATGAATGTAAACACAAGCAAATGCAATAAAAGAGACATCATAAGAAAGAGGAGATGAAATTAAACGTAGTTGAATTAAAACATATCCATATCTCTTCATCTCGACGTTCGCCGGACATTGTATCCTTCGAAGACTTGGAATGGAAGTTTCAGTTGTTTCTTGCTCGATCGAGTTGTCGGTCGAGCTGGCTTCTTTTCACATAAACTTAACTTCCTGCAAGGGTTAAGACACGAAATACTAGATAGAAATTGAAATAAAGACTATATACAAGGATAGACATGGGACTTCCCCCCAAGTAAGCTTGTTTAAGGTCTCATAGCTTGACCTTTACCTTTTAGGCATTGGTTGAGCTAGTCCCACCATCAAGGGTGATAGTGAGGACTTGAGACAGAAGCTCCTTTAGCTTGGTTGGATCCCTGGATTGCTCTGAAGTGACCAAGGTTTTGGCTCTAGAGAAAGGTCTTGATCTCCCTTTGTACCTTATCTTGTACTCAATCTTCCCATTTTCATACTTGGTGGGGAACAAGGTCATAGTGAGCTGAGATGTAAGCTGGGATGGCTTGACTGAAGAGGCCTGAACAGGTGGATCTTTCCTCTTATCACCTGGTCGTCCCTTAGAGGCTGCATCCTCCCCTTCCTTTTGAGCCATTCCTAGTGGCTCATCAAACAAAGCTTGAAGGGTCTCTTCATCAAGCACACAAGGCACATGAACAAGGCGATCAGCTCTTGGCCTTTCAGGTCTCGGTTTCTAAAGTCGTAGACGCTCAAGTCGTGGTTTCTCAGTCCTTGAACCTTTCTCAACTCGTTGATCCTTTTCAACCTTATCTCGCACAACTCTTGCCTCCTTGTCAACCTTTTCCTTCGCAACCTTAGCAATTTCAGGACTCTTGGATCTTAGAGGATTGCTTTCAATTGTACCACAATACTCAGGTCCTCTAGGCTGCAAGCGGTATGAGACCAAACTATTCACCTTGTGGAGTATCACTTCTTGCTTGTGAAAATCAATTGAGGCGCCAACTTTACTAAGGAAAGGAGTTCCCAAGATGAGAGCTACATCTTTCTCTTCTTTCATCTCCAAGACAGTGAGATCAGTTTTGACAATACATTCTCCCACTTTCAAAGGATAGTTCTTGAATACACCAAGAGGAGACTTAGAAGTGGCATCTCCAAACATGATTGAAATAGTAGGGCGCTGCAATGCTCCATGAATACTGAGTTTCTGAGCCATTGTGAGGGAGATGAGGTTGATACTAGCTCCAGAATCCACCAAGGCATTTTAAGCTCAAGGTGGCCAAGTGTGCAAGGGAGAGTGAATTTCCCTTGATCTTTCGCCTTTGGCAGAAATGTTGGTGAGGTAAGTAGGTTCAGTTCTTGTGTGGACTTCTCCACAAGGTGGGAAACGTTTTCTATATTAGCCATAACATCTTGAATCAATTCATTTGTTCAAATGCCTCACTCATACTTTCCATAGAAGGCAACTCAACTCCAATCTCACTAAGGTCTCTTCTGAACTTGTGAATCACTTCCTTATGGCCTTGACTGAGTAGGCGACCTGAGGATGGATCAACTGGCTGGTAAGGATCAAGTAAAATCGGTTGAGGATTAATGTTCTGACTCGATCGAGCTAGAGTTCGACTCGATCGAGCTGCCGATCGAGCTTGTTGTGCGAGCTCAACTGGTGAAGTGTGAATGGCTATAGGAGTAGGTTGCACTTCAGGTTGATCATTCTGGACTCCAGGAGCCTCAGCAGCAACAATCTCGTCGTCATTCAGCAGCAAACAAAACTCTTCCATGACTCTTCTCTTGACCCCTCTTCTTCATCAAGCCCTTCTTGAGTGAAGATGACCTTGCATGTTCCTTGGGGTTCTGAATGGCTTTACCAGGTAGTTGCCCTAAGCTTTCCAGAGAGTACACTCTTGTGTTAGGTTCTCAATCTTGGAGTTGATATCAGCCAACTTCTTGCTTGTCTCCACAACACCATCAGCTTGCCCTTGGAGCAACTGTTTAAGCATAGCCTTGAGCTCATGCTCAGGTGTAGGCGCAGGCTGGGGTGGTTGGTGGGGAAAGCCAGGTGGTATGTGCATTTGCTGACCAGGAAAAGTCCCTTGAGGGCCTTGGTAGTTGTTTTTAGGACCATACCCATGTTGAGGAGCTTGACTCGATCGAGCTTGCTGTTGTTGAGGGTAGACCTGATCTTGAGGGTTGGCAACATCAGTGTTTCTGTATGACATGGCTGGGTTGGACTTGTAATTGTAATATCCTTTGTTGTAACCTCCTTGCCCATTGCTCATGTAACATACTTCAGCATATTGTGTATCCTCCCCTTCTTGACTGGTTCCATCTCTTCAGCAGACACAAAATTGACCTTCTTCATTGTGGACTGAGCTAAGATAAGCTTATCCAACTTCTCATTCAACGATTTGACATCTTTTCTCAATTTCTCATCGACTCGATCGAGTGGTGGGTCGAGCTCCGGTTGGTGCGATCATACTCTTCTCCATAACTTCCATTGGAGTTTGCAATGTTTTCCACAAGCTGCCAGCCATCATCCACATCCTGATTAAGGAAGTTTCCATTGCTGGCTGTGTCCAACATCTCTCTATACCTTGCCAAACAACCTCTATAGAGAGTAGAGAGCAAAGACTCATTGTTGAAGCCATGATGGGGGCACTGACTTGTGTAGCCCTTGAATCTTTCCCAAGCCTCAGCAAAAGTCTCATTGTTCCTCTGAATGAAGCTTGATATCTCACTCCTTAGCTTGGCTGTGCGACCGGTGGAGAAAAACTTAGCAAGAAAGGCCTTCTTGCATTCATCCCAAGTGGTGATTGTGCCATGGGGCAGGCTCTTCTCCCATTGGTGAGCCTTGTCAGCAAGAGACATAGGGAAGAGTCTCAGCTTGATGGCATCTTCAGAGACACCATTGATCTTGGTCAAGTCACATAACCTATCAAACTCATCAAGGTGATCAATGGGGTCTTCACTTGGCAATCCATGGAACATCTTGTTCTGCACAAGGTTGATCATACCCAGCTTGATCTCAAAGTTGTGGTTCTGCACAGGTGGTGGGACAATCCCTTGTCTTTGTTGATGGCGGTTTGGAGCATCTCCTAGACCAATCGGTCGAGGTTGCCTAGCTCGACCGAGTCCATTACCCAAAGGGTTTCCATTACCCTCTGGTACATCCATGGTTTCAGTAACAACCACCTCAGGTTCTGCTTGTACCCTCTGAGTTCTCTGACTTCTCTTTCTGCCCGTGGTGAAATCTAGCTCGACCAAGTCTTCAGTTGTTCGACTCGATCGAGTTCGCATGCACCTGCAATGATGATAGGATTTGTGTGTGGGTGTGAAATGATATGAAATGAGATGTGGTGGAATGCAACAGTGGTAAATGATGAGGTGGTATGGTGCAAACACAATCACATCAATCAATTCCCTTTAACCATCATAGTGTTATAGTAAAGGGTATCAATCCAAAAGGGTGAGAAGTGTTACTCTATGAGAATATGAAATCACAAGAAAGTCAAGCAACAGTAATAAGATATGGGGTAACTCTAACAACCTAAATGAAACAGAAATGCAAATGCAGAAAGTAAAAAAGCAGTAAGCAAGCAGCTCGACCAAGGACTCGAGTCGAGTGGAACAGAGTAACCGAGCTCGATCGAGTTGAGGGTCGAGTTGAAGTAAAAAGCGATAAAGGCAGCGAACTTTAACAAGCTAATGAAATTAGGGTCTAAGACAGGGTTTACAACAGAGGAAGACTATACTTAATCAATCTTGCTCTTAAACAACTTGTATCAAGGTATCTCTTGATATTGAGCTTCTCAATGCCTAGCTAACCCTTTCCCAAGGTGAAAGCTATCAACCAAGACTTGATCTCAGAAACAGGGGGTGTGATACCCCGTATCAAGACCTAAAACATCCCAAAGGCCGGGATGGGAAGATCAACACTCTGGGATTGGAAGACAAAGACGTGGATCTAATCCAGAGATCACAACGAAGACTTGGATCAAGACAGGATCAAGAACGATCGAGCAGAAGTGAAGATACAACAAGATTGTCCAGGTGGGACGATCATTGTACGAACATGGGAAGAGTCAACAGGACGACGAAATATCAAAGTTCTCCAAATCAAGAAGAGAAGAGTTTGGACGACATAAGAGACCATTCTAAGAAGTTTGGTCGAAGCAGAATGCAAATCGGACGAGCAGATTGAGAGATGGGACGGACGCCCAAGATCTATCCGCAACGACTGCAAGAAACGTAAATGTTCGGGATGGAGGTATTCCGCACATTTCCAAGCAACTATGTGGAAGCTCAGAAACATGGAAATGAGAGAAGGATTAAAATAGGAGATTTTAATTCTCAAGCACGACGGGGACGAAACCCTCCAGGACAGGGAAACGTACGAAACCCTCTGGACGAGGAAACGTACATTTGGAGCAATCTTGTTCTAAGCCAATCAAGTGGTGACACCAGCTACTTGGAGAAGATAAGGATGATCATAACCAATATGGAGAAGACATGCAGCTACTACAATGGAGCCAAAATCGTACAGGCCAATCATGTAGCAACATCCAGCTACCGAATGAAGACGAAGCAAGCCTAAACCAATTGGGCAACGACACCAGCTGCTAAAGAGGAGAGAGGGCGTGGATAAGCTCCAAGAAGACCTAATGCTATCAGGGAGAGACACCCAGCTGCTCATGAGAGACAAGAATCGTCCAAACCAATCAGACGGAGACATTGAGGTGATAAATGGAGACGAAATTGACTTGGACGAATCAGGATGCAACACCAACCTACTGAGAGAGAGTATAAGCTTCAGGAGTGGATGAGAAGCAAGTGGAGAGATGCAGAAACGGATTGGATCAAGAGCTGACCAATCAGACAGAAGCACCCAGCATCTTAATGGATAAGATGAGTTATATCCAATGGCACGACACACCACATGCTTGGGGGAAGTCGGCCTATTGGATGAGCATTGAGAGGGGATAGGAATGACGTGTGTCATGTCCTGAGACGCCCTAGAGGCCACCAATCAAAGCTACCTAGCCTAGACCGCCTGGATGTCGCGTTCTGAGGCAGTGTAGGTCGCCACCAAGCAAAGCTATGCTAGGCCTAGGTCTCCATGTGTCTGCGCATGACTGGAGACGTCCCAAGAAGCCAGGCAGCCTCCTGAACTCCTATAAATACGCTCCTCCACCCCAAGTCCAAACCATTCCATTCCCAAAGCTAGAGAGCACCTGAAAAGTGATTAGAGAGTAATTAAGAAAGTTTTCTTAATTAAGTGAGGTTAGTGGAAGATTAGAGTAGGTCAAGATCAAAGCTTAAGGAAAGCTAGGAGGATCTTGAAGTCTTCTTAAAGTGGTGAGTCTTGGTGTTATAGTTTTAGTCTTTTGGATCTTTGTTGTGTATGCAGGTTGTATGAACACCAAAGCATGGGAGATGCTTTCTGTTCATATTGGTTATTGGTTCTGTAGTATAACTCTCTAAACAATAAGGTTTAGTAAAAATTGTGGAGAGTTATGCTGCAGAAATTTATATAATGTGTTATGAGGTTGTGATGGGTAATCTTCTAGGAGAGAAGTTATGCCGTCAAATCTCTTGTGTGTTTATATGCAGGTTTGCATTGTTGTGAGGTTGTGATGGGTAATCTTCTAGGGAGAGAAGTTATGCCATCAAATCTCTTGTGTTGTGAGGTTGTGTCGGGTAACCTTCGGGGAAGGTTAGGCCGCCAGATCTCTTTTGTGTGTGAGGTTGTGTTGGGTAACCTTCGGGGAAGGATATGCCAACAGATCTCTTTTCTGTGTAAGATTGTGATGGGTGACCTTCGGGGAAGGTTATGCCGTCAGATCTTGTTAGTGTAGATGCATATCTATACATTAGGTGATGTGAGATTGTGGATGGCTATGCCGCCAAATCTCATAGATGCATCGGTTGTGGGGTTATAGCATGGCTATGCCGCTAAACCTCGAGTGCATACTAACATGGTGGTGCGTAAGGCCCATATGTTGAGTATGACTCCGATGTGGAAAGATCACGGACGGCTGAGCCGCCAGATCTTTCGAGGTTCGTGTGGGTACTCTTCCGAGGCAAGGGAAGCTCTGCCGCAGAACCGGTGGTATGAGGCATAGTGGTGCGTAAAGGCCCATATGCTAAGTACTGAGAACATGTGGCGTGTCTAACCACATGTTGTCTAGGAAGGTGTAGTCAAGCGCATTCTCGCACGTCAGAGCCCAACCGGATTGGCAGCGTGGAGGCTGTGCATGAAGGGAGGAAGACTCGGAGGATAACCTGGTCAGCTGCCTTGGCCGAGTATGGTACCATATGACGATATGGGATCCAACCAGACATTGGCATGGTGCGCCAGTAAGGCCAATAGATGGAAGGATGAACCGGGTACCGCGATGGACTGTAGTGCCCGGGTGAAGGCGTTCATCTAGTTTCTGTGTGATTCCGGATGAGCGTGAACCTTCACAGGCGTGGGCAGAGAATGTGGCTAATGCACCTAGGCGCCTTATTGCATATAGAAAACAAGTATTAGATACTTGTCTAGGTTTGCATGGGCATTGCATATAGATTGTTTGATTGTTGTTATAGTCTTGGGTTGATCGTACCTGTTCTTGTTTGATTGGGGTACGGTTAGTCTTAAGACTATGGCATCAATTATGCATGTGATTGCATATGTTGTGTTGTGCTAACCTCATTGCAGGTGGAGGCGGGGTTACAAGCCCGCGGCGTTTGTGTTTGGAGTTTAGGGAATCCCCCTTGTATAGAGGTCCTAGACTCACTGAGTAATATTAGATTACTCATTCCTTTTGTTTAATGTTTTCAGGTGACCGTAGAGGTGTGAAGTAGAGCGGACCGCTGCAGGCAGTAGGCGCCAGAATAGTTTTGTGGTATGTTTTTGTAAAATTATGGTTTGTTGTTTGGTTTGGAACTAAGGATCGATCCGCATGTTTTTTAAGTCGGATTTTGTAAGCACTCTGATATTTTAATAAAGGAAAGTTTTATGTAAAGACCTTATGTTCCAATGATATTAGCTTGGTCCGGGCTAACACAACTCCTGACCGAAGTACGGGTTGGCAAGCCTTAGGCTTTGGTCAAGAGGGTCGAGTTCGTGGGACGGGCTGACCTGGGCTCTGATTTGTTCTTAGTCTGGGATGGCCTATTCGGCGAACATCGACATTTTGTGGCGCTTCTCGGAACGTCTGTGCCTAGGACGGTTCGGGGGTGTTACAAATGGTGGTATCAGAGCATGGTTCATGATCATGCTCGGGAACAAGGATTTTAAAACGTTTTATCGAGTCAAATTGAGTTAGAACCCGAAAAATAACTCCTCTCGGCATGTGGTTAGGGTTCCTAAACTCTATCTTAGATTCTACGGCTTCCACTCCCTGGTCGCCTCTCTCTCCTTGTGGTTGAGCGGGTGGGTTGACTAGTACTGGGGCAGTTCCTTGGACAGTCTGCTGAGAAGTGTCCTTTCAATACAAAGAGGATTAGGTTTAGGGTCAAAGGAATGTCAAGGGGGAAGCAACATTTTTCGGGTTTGACTGTTGACGTCTCAGCTCGATCGAGTTGAAAACTCGACCGGTTGGTCGAGTAGATGGTCGAGCTGGTCTTCAAGATGGCTTCCTCCTTCTTCCCTTGCGTATCCAATTGAGCTGCTGATGATAGGATTTGTGTGTGGATGTGAAAAGATATGAAATGAGATGAGTGGAATGCAATCAGTGGTATATGATGAGGTGGTAAGATGCAAACACAAACACAGTCAACAATTCCCTTTAACCATGATAGTTGATGTAGTACAAAGGGTTATCAATCCAAAATGGGAAACTTGTCACTCTTGAGAATATGAAACAACCAGGAAGTCAAGCAAGCAGTAATAGATTTGAAGTAACACTAACAACCTAAAAAAATGAAAAGCAGTGCAATAAAAGTAAACAAAGCAGTGAAGTGTCAGCTCGACCAAGACTCGAGTCGAGTCAGAGCAAAGTACCAGCTCGATCGAGTTTAGGGACGAGTTGAGACAAACAAAGCTAAAGGTGACGACTTTAACAAGATAAAGAGAGAATTAGGGTTCAAGACAGGGTTTTGCAATCAAAGGAATCTACACTTAATCAATCTAGCTCTTAAAACTCCTTGTATCAAGGCTTCTCTTGATATTGGGCTTCTCAATGCCTAGCCAACCCTTTCCCAAGGTGGAGGCTATCAACCAAGGAATGATCTCAGAAACAGGGGGTTAGCCAGTGAGAATCAAACCTTGGAGGCTATAGGATCATTGCCCAAACTAATCCATCCAACCCCTTAGACCTCTATTGTCTAGAGCAAGAGATATTGGAGCTCTTAGTGGATCTTTTCCAGCGAATGCCATCACTTTCGTGTGGGGAGTCGCCTAAGGACTTACAAGCCAGGGGTAGTGGTCATGTAGCCTTAAGATCTATCCAAAAGAGAGAGAATCTAGATTAAGACCATAAGCTAGAAGGATTAAGCATATGAAACCTCTAATCTATCCCATCTCAAACCCTAATGGGTAACTACTCACTACACATGAATGTAAACACAAGCAAATGCAATAAAAGAGACATCATAAGAAAGAGGAGATGAAATTAAACAACTTTTATTGAAATAAGCAAGTGCAAATACAAAGAGATTATCCAGGATCTAAGATTCAAGAAGCAAGAGCTTCAAGAACACAAAGATGGGATTAGATCTCTAAAAAGTAAAAGACAATAAATTAAAAGAAACTAAAACAAAAGTAATCTAAAGCTTGGTGGTTTTTTCGTGGCTTAGAGCCTTTAAATACAAAGAGGATTAGGTTTAGGGTCAAAGGAAAGTCAAGGGGGAAGCAACATTTTTCGGGTTTGACTTTGACTTCCAGCTCGATCGAGTTGAAGCTTGGCCGGTCGAGTTGAGGAACTCGACCGGTTGGTCGAGTGGTCGAGCTGGTCTTCAAGATGGCTTCTCCCTTCTTCCTTTGCGTATCCAGTTGAGCTGCTTCCATGTGCCAAGTCCCTCCATGCTCCTTGTCCCATATGCTCCAGAATGCTCCAAAAGACCTATTTCAAAGGACCAAACATGCATATGTATGCAAATGCAACCTAAAACTAACATGAATGCATAAGAAGAGAAAAGGAACAAGATATGATGCAAATGGAAGCTAAAACTATGCAAAAGATGCATAAAAGATGTGCTAAAACTATGTAAAATGCAAGTACATCAACACCCCCAAACTTGAACTTTGCTTGCCCTCAAGCAAACAAATAGAACAAGAAAGAGATGAGGTTTGAAAAAAGCTGATTCAACACTTAAAAACATGTCCTCAAAAGCGATTTGCTAAATGTCCAACTTAGAGATTCTAGAATGCAACAAGGTGAGAGATATTCATTAAGATTTAACCATGCTTATCAACATCAATCCCACTTCACAGTCACTCAAACAATGCATTCAAATCAGCAAATCCCTTTAACATTCATTAAGCAAAAACAGTGAACCAAAAACATGCAAGATCAATCAACTCATTTGGTTTCAAGGGTTTATGGGTTAAGAGACAAAGAGGGTCTCTTTTGTATGGTGGTTTAGTAACAGGGATCTCTCAAGAAAGTGGCTTTGCTTTGGCAGAAGGCTAAGTGTTAGAACCAAAGATGATGCAAGAACAGCAGCTCGAGCCGCCTAATCCTAACTCGATCGAGTTCAACACTTAGAGCTTTTTAGAACAAAATCCTAACTACCCTTTTTGGCATTTCGCCTTTGAAACTGAGGAGCTTTGCTCACTTTTCTTTTAAGAACTTCCTAGGGAGAGGCTTCTTGAGGTAACATCTAGCGGTTTGGGATTTTCTAAACACTTAGGGAACTTTTCTTTCCTTTTTGGACACTTGAGGCTTTGCCTTCTTTTCATTCTACTTAGAACCCTTTTTACTTTCCTTTTTTAACTTCCCAAACCTTTACTAGACCCTTTTTAACACTGCCAACTCCCTGGACTTAACCAAACTCTTTTTCCTTTGGGTTTTTCCCAACTTTTACCACTTTTCTGGTTTTTACACCCAACTCGATCGAGCTCGAGTTGGCACCCCCAAACTTAGCCTGAAAACAATCCCAAGAGAACTAGACAACTAGAACTACTGCCCCTGCCGGTTTAAACACAACACCTTATGCTAAGCAAAGCCAAGAAAGGTTCTCACATTCGCACAAGAGATAATATGGGGTTTGAAATGAAAAGGCTTAGGTTTAAGGTGTGGTAACTGTCTCAAAGATAGAGATCAGCTATCTGGACAAGCAAAAGGGATATGAAAGGTAAAGAATGTCCAGATATGTATGTGGTAGCCATGAGTTGAAATCAAATGCAAGCATTGGTAATTAAAGATCAAGTTATGGTTCAAATAGATAGGGAAATGCATCAAATCACAGCAATGGTTGAATGAGATGTGCATGCAGTGATATGATCAAGATAAACATGGTTCTTGCTGCTCAATCAATCTCACCCTAATGCACAAAAGAATCTAAAAACAGGGCACTCAAGAAATCGCAAAAGATGGACAAGTTTTCAAAGTCAAATCAACAATGCAAGTGAAAAATGCAATCCTAAACAAGTCTAACAAATATGAATGCAAAAAGATGAAAATATTTTTGGATTTTTTGAAAATTTTATGATTTTTTTGGTTTTTCTATGCAAAAGATAAATGAAAAACTAAGAACAAAGAAAACAAGGTTAAATCATCTCTTGAACCCTCCCCCAAACTTAAATCACACAGTCCCTTGTGTGAGAAAAATTTAGTGAAAGATTCAAGAGGGCAAAACCAAGAAAAAACAAGAACAAATGCAAGAAAATATGAAATGGTATATACAAGGGTTGGTGTTTGGATACCTCAGTGCCCCCAAAGAACTGGGAGACTAGGTCGTGGTCTGGAGATGGGAGACGGCCATCAGGACGCTCCATGCAACTGGGGTTGCTCTTGTGGCTCACTCGATCGAGCTTGCGGCTCCTCTTCCTCTTCCTCAAAGTGTGTGGCTTCCTTGGCCTTGGTGGAGCATTGGTAGCTCGTACTGTCCATAGGGGTTCCATCTACTCCGGGGAGGCTCCTGGTAAGGCATGGGATCGTATTCAAATCCCGGATCCTCGAACTGGGGCTCCTCCAGGTCAACTCGACCCTCAGCTCGATCGAGTTGAGTTTCCTCTGTTTGGACTCGATCGAGTCCGGTGGTCGAGCTGGAGCGTCTGGCCTTGGAAGTCTTCCTCCTTCTCTGCGTGTTGTCTTCTCCTTCCCTTGGCTCGAAAGAAGAGGCTCTGTGAGGCTCTTGGGCAGGGAGCCTCCTTGGAGTGGTGAGAAGTGATCTACTCCTAGGGAATGTGGGGGCCTTGGACTTCTTCTTCTTGCTTGAAGAACCAGAAACCTTCTTCTCCAAACTTTTGATCTTGCTCACCATCTTGTCCATGGACTTTTGCATCTTCTCAATGGCTTTCCCTTGCCATTTGTTGAACTTTTGGAGAAGTCCAATCCTCTTGTGGCAGCCACAACAGAGGGGTTCATCCTTGGAGCCTCATACTCCTCAAAGTAATAGCACTCAGGCTCACCCAAATCAGCGCTTTCCTGGACCGATCTTCAGCTTGATCCTCAGCTCGATCCTCAGCTCGATCGAGCTCGATCTCTTCTTCTTGCAAATCCGCTTCATGCCCAACTAAAGTGTACACAGGGGGTCTGAGATTCCCTGCGTGTGCCCTGTCTCCTCTGATCTTCTTCCCATCTCTTGTGCGTGAGATGATGGGCTTGATTCCCATGGTAAGGAGCTTTACTTCTCCCTCATTGATTGTTCCAGTGGCTTTCCTTGCAAAGAAAGTGTTTGCAAGAGCCTTGTGGACATATCTAAGCACAGGACTTCTGATCTGGGCAGCCTTGGACCTTGAGGAAGAGTACCCCTCTTCAGCTACTGTAGCCCACACTTCTTGGAGTTCATTTTCCTTGATGTTCCATAGGTTTCCTTCTCCATAGGTAAACCCAAACAGTATCTCAAGCTGCCAAAAGGTCACCATCTTCTTCTCTCCCTTTGCCAAGAAAGTTATGTACCCCCAGCCTTGGTCCAACTCAGCTCGATCGAGCTTCGTCAAACTCGTGATGCTTCATCGACGCCAAAAACTCACACGGTTTGGTGCATCTCCAAGCCCAATCGGTCGAGTCTGCCTAGCTCGACCATTTCCATTACCCAGAGGGTTTCCATTACCCTCTGGTATATCCATAGTATCTGTAACAAGCACCTCTGACTGAACTTGTTGCCTCTGGCTCTTCTTTCTCTGTTTTCTGCCTATGTTGATGTCTAACTCGACCAAGTTCTCTGTTGATGATCTCGATCGAGTTCACATACACCTACAAAACAGTCAAAAACCCAGCAGTACAAGCAACAAAGGTGGGATAGTACTTGATCGTTCAAGTGATTTGGAAACTCAAATGCAACAGTAACAAACCCAAATGGCAACGGCGCCAAATTGATGATAGGATTTGTATGTGATGTGATAGATATGAAATGAGATGTGGTGGAATGCAACAGTGGTAAATGATGAGGTGGTAAGATGCAAACACAAACACAATCAACAATTCCCTTTAACCATCATAGTCGTTATAGTATAAAGGTTATCAATCCATAAGGGTGAGATGTTGCTCTATGAGAATATGCAAACACAAGAAAGTCAAGCCAAATGATTAAAAGGAGGGATGTAACAACTAAACAACCTAATATAACGGAAATGCAATGCAGAATAAAAGAAAGCAGCTAAATGCAAGAAATTAACAAGAACAAGCAGATGCAAAGCTCGACCAAGAGCTCGATCGAGTTGATGAGCTCGACCAAGAGCTCGATCGAGCTCGATCGAGTTGATGAGCTCGATCGAGTTGAGGGTCGAGTTGGTGAGCTCGATCGAGTTGAGGGTCGAGTTGGTGTAAAAACAGAGGAAATGCAATGAAAAGCGATAAAGGTGCAAACTTTAAGATGCTAATGCGAAGATTAGGGTTAAAGACAGGGTTTTGCAGCTAAAGGGAGGCTATACTTAATCAGTCTTGCTCTTAAACAACTTGTATCAAGGTATCTCTTGATATTGAGCTTCTCAATGCCTAGCTAACCCTTTCCCAAGGTGAAAGCTATCAACCAAGACTTGATCTCAGAAACAGGGGGTTAGCCAGTGAGAATCAAGCCTTGGAGGCCATAGGATCATTGCTCAAACTAATCCATCCAACCCCTATGAACTCCATTTCGAGAGCAAGAGTTATTGGAGCTCTTAGTGGACCTTTTCCAACGATTTCCATCACTTCCATGTGGAGAATCGCCTATGGACATACAAGCCAGGGATAGTGGTCATGTAGCCTTAAGGTTTGTCCAAAAGAGAGAGATTTCTAGATTAAGAACATAAGCAAGAAGGATTAAGCATAAACAACCTCTAACCTATCCCATCTTAAGCCCTAAAGGGAACTACTCACTACACATGATGAAATAAACAACCAAATGCAATGAATGAAATCAAAAGATAGAGGAGATGATATAGAACAACTTTTATTGAAATAGAGAAGTGCAGAAATACAATAATAAAGCCTAGATCTAGGTTCTATGAGCAAGAGCTCAAGAACACAAAGAGAGGCTAAAAAGTAAAAAGGGAAATGCAAATACAAGATTAATAAAAGTTGAGCAAAAGCTATGTTTAATTCGTGGCTCAATGCCATTTATAGTAAAGCAAACTAGGTTTAGGGTCAAAGGGGAGTCAAAGGGAAGCAACATTTTTCGGGTTTGACTTTGACTCCTGGAAAAGCAGCTCGATCGAGTTGGAAACTGGCCGGTCGAGCTGGTGGGTCGAGTCCAACCAATATCGTCGTATCTTCTGAACCGCTGGTCCGAATGACATGAAACCACCTCCAGACGAAAGCTAACTCAATTATCCACAACTTCCAAGAAGAAGTCAGAGGCTGGAAACCCTTCATTTGATACGATACTTCGGACGCATCTCACTAGCTCGACCGAGTGCGGGTCCGTACATGGGGCAGACAGAGTCTTTCCTTCCTCAACTAGTCTCCAGTGATAGGCAATGTTCCAATTAGCTCCAAATGACCTGATTAAGACATCAAACGTGCACATGTATGCAAATGCAAGCCTAAAACTACTATGTATGCAAAAGAAGGGAAAACATCAAGAAATGATGCTTTGGGTGAATGAAACTATGCAAAAGATGCATAAAAGAAGGGCTAAAACCATGTAAAATGCAAGTACATCAACACCCCCAAACTTGACCTTTGCTTGCCCTCAAGCAAACAAATAGAACAAGAAAGAGATGAGGTTTGAAAACAAGTTGATTCAACCTTTAAAAACATGTCCTCAAAAGCGATTTGCTAAATGTCCAACTTAGAGATTCTAGAATGCAACAAGGTGAGAGATATTCATTAAGATTTTAACCATGCTTATCAACATCAATCCCACTTCACAGTCACTCAAACAATGCATTCAAATCAGCAAATCCCTTTAACATTCATTAAGTAAAACAGTGAACCAAAAACATGCAAGATCAATCAACTCATTTGGTTTCAAGGGTTTATGGGTTAAGAGACAAAGAGGGTCTCTTTTGAGTGTATGGTGGTTTAGTAACAGGGATCTCTCAAGAAAGTGGCTTTGCTTTGGCAGAAGGCTAAGTGTTAGAACCAAAGATGATGCAAGACAGCAACTCGAGCCACCTAATCCTAACTCGATCGAGTTCAACACTTAGAGCTTTTTAGAACAAAATCCTAACTACCCTTTTTGGCATTTCGCCTTTGAAACTGAGGAGCTTTGCTCACTTTTCTTTTAAGAACATCCTAGGGAGAGGCTTCTTGAGGTAACATCTAGCGGTTTGGGATTTTCTAAACACTTAGGGAACTTTTCTTTCTTTTGACACTTGAGGCTTTGCCTTCTTTTCTTTCTACTTAGAACCCTTTTACTTTCTTTTTTTAACTTCCCAAACCTTTACTAGACCCTTTTTAACACTGCCAACTCCCTGGACTTAACTAAACTCTTTTTCCTTTGGATTTTCCCAACTTTTACCACTTTTCTGGTTTTTGACACCCAACTCGATCGAGCTCGAGTTGGCACCCCCAAACTTAGCCTGAAAACAATCCCAAGAGAACTAGACAACTAGAACTACTGCCCCTGCCGGTTTAAACACAACACCTTATGCTAAGCAAAGCCAAGAAAGGTTCTCACAATCGCACAAGAGATAATATGGGGTTTGAAATGAAAAAGGCTTAGGTTTAAGGTGTGGTAACTGTCTCAAAGATGGAGATCAGCTATCTGGACAAGCAAGAGGGATATGAAATAGGTAAAGAATGTCCAGATATGTATGTGGTAGCCATGAGTTGAAATCAAATGCAAGCATTGGTAATTAAAGATCAAATTATGGTTCAAATAGATAGGGAGATGCATCAAATCACAGCAATGGTTGAATGAGATGTGCATGCAGTGATATGATCAAGATAAACATGGTACTTGCTGCTCAATCAATCTCACCCTAATGCACAAAGAATCTAGAAATGGGCACTTAAGAAATCGCAAATGATAGACAAGTTTTCAAGATCAAATCAATAATGCAAATGAAAGATGCAATCCTAAACAATTCTAAGAGATATGAATGCAAAAAGATGAAAATATTTTTGGATTTTTGAAAATTTTATGATTTTTTTGTGTTTTTCTATGCAAATATGAATGAAAAACTAAGAAAGAATAAACAAGGTTAAATCATCTCTTGAACCCTCCCCCAAACTTAAATCACACAGTCCCTTGTGTGAAAGAAGTTCAAAGAAAGATTCAAGAGGAAAAACAAAGAAAAATGCATGAAAATGAGATGGTATGTACAAGGGAAGAAAATTTGATACCTTAGTGCTCCCCAAAGAACTGGGAAGCAAGGTCATGAGTTGGAGAGGGCAGGAGACAATAGCATCATAACGGCATCAATCGAGCCAAAATAGGTGTGGTGGGATTGGGCTCGATCGAGTCTGTGGCTCGAGTCAGAATAGCTTCCCTTTTGAACTAACTCCTGCAAGCCTTAGACAGAAACAACTACAAAGAACTTAAATGAAAGCATTATATACAAGATAGACATGGGAATTCCTCCCAAGTGAGCTTGTTTTAGGTCGCATAGCTTGACCTTTTACCTTTTAGGCATGAATGAGAGCGGTCCCGCCATCAAATGTGACAGTAAGGACTGAAGATAGGAGCTCCTTGAGCTTGGTTTGATCTTTTTGCAGCTCAGGACTGACCAAGGCATTGATACTGGAAAACGGTTTAGACTTTCTCTTGCACTTGATCTTGTACTCAATCTTCCCATTTGTGAACTTGGATGGCAACAGAGTCAGGGTAAGCTGGGATGGAGCGCTTGAGAGAGTCTGAGGCGTGATCATCTTTCTTTTATGTCCAGGAGACGCCTTCAAAGCCATACCCTCCCCATCTTTTTGAGCACTTCCTAGCTGCTCACTAAACAAAACTGCAAGACCCATCTCATCCAGAACACAAGGTTCACAAATAACTGGCTCTGTGCAGCTCACAGTCATAATCTCCATCTTTTCAACCTCAGCAAACTCATCACCCTTGATGCTCAGCGACTTAGTGGCAATGGTTCCACAATATTTAGAGCTTGATGCCTTGAGAGGGTAAGAGACTTTGCTGTTGACATTGTGCAAGATGACTTTCTTTGTGTGGAAGTCAATGGAGGCACCAACAGTGGTGAGGAAAGGTGTCCCTAAGATCAATGGCACATCCTTCTCTTCAACCATATCTAGAACTGTTAGATCTATTGGGATGGTGCACTCTCCAATTCTCAAAGGGAAATCCATGACAATACCAAGTGGGGCTTTAGAAGAAGCATCTCCAAACATGATAGAAGACTTAGGTCGCTGGATCAGACTCTGTATACCCAACTTCTGTATTAGAACAAGAGAGATCAGATTGATACTTGCTCCAGAATCAACAAGTGCATCCTCAAGTTGTAGGTGACCAAGTGTACAAGGCAGAGTGAAGCTTCCCTGACCATTCAGCTTGGGTAGTGAGGTTGGTGTGGATAAGAGATCACCCTGGGAAGAAGAGGGCTCCAAAAGCTGAGCTACTTCGTCCTTGTTATCAAGTATGTCCTTAATCATCTTCTTTGGACATGAGCAGCTTGAAAACTTCCCATATTTGGTAGCTCAACCCCAATCTTACTCATGTCATTCCTAAACTTGGTGATGACTTTTTTCTGATTCTTGGTAAGGATTCTACTTGGAAATGGAACAGGGGGCTTGTAGGTGTCATCATCAGGTGGTGTTGGAACATAGAGCATCTGACTCGATCGAGCTGGTGAGACGGTCTGGCTCGATCGAGCTGCCAATCGAGCTTGTTGTGCGAGCTCAACCGGTGAAGCGTGGATAGCTATCTGAGGAGCTTGCACTTCAGGTTGAGCGTACTGGACTCCAGGAGCATCAGCAACAACATTGTCTTCATTATTAAGCAGCATACAGATCTCCTCAATATCCTTCTCATTAGCAGCTTGTTGATCAAATCCTTCCTCTTGAGTGAAGATCGCTCTACAATGCTCCTTTGGATTCTGAACAGCCTTTCCAGGAAATTGACCTTGCTTAGCAGCAGAAGAAGAAGCATGGTGTTCCAAAGAGTGAACTCTAGTGTTCAAGGATTCAATCTTAGAGTTCATCTCAGCCAACTTCTTGCTTGTCTCCATAGCACCATCTGCTTGACCTTGTAAGAGCTGCTTCAACATGGCTTTTATTTCTTGTTCCTGACTTGGTGAAGCCTGAGGCGCTTGAGGTGCATACCCAGTTGGTACACTCTGCTGTTGTCCTTGATAATTTCCCTGATGGCCCTGGAAATTCCCTTTCTGACCATATCCTTGCTGTGGAGGCTGACTCGCTGGAGCCTGTTGCTGCGGAGGGTAGACTTGATCTTGAGGATTGGCAACATCAGTGTTACTGTAGGACATGGTAGGGTGTGACTTGTAGCCATAGTAACCGTTTTGATAACCTCCTTGTCCATTCTTAATGTAGCACACTTCAGCAAACTGATTCTCCTCCTCTTCTTGGCCTTGAACCATCTCTTCTTTAGAAACAAAGTTGGCCTTCTTCATTGTGGATTGAGCTAAGATAAGCGTATCCAACTTCTCATTGAGTGCCTTGACATCGTTTCTCAGCTTACTATCAGACTCGATCGAGTTGGAGGTCGAGCTCCTGTTTGTGCGATCATACTCCTCTCCATAGCTCCCACTTGAGTTAGCAATGTTCTCCACAAGCTGCCAGCCATCATCTACATCTTGATTGAGGAAGTTTCCATTACTGGCTGTGTCCAACATCTCTTTGTATCTTGGCAAAACTCCTCTGTAAAGTGTGGAAAGCAAAGACTCATTGCTGAAGCCATGATGAGGGCATTGACTGGTGTAACCCTTGAATCTCTCCCAAGCTTCAGCAAATGTCTCATTGTTCCTTTGAGTGAAACCAGATATCTCGCTTCTCAGCTTAGCAGTGCGACCAGTAGAGAAGAACTTGGCAAGAAATGCCTTCTTGCAATCCTCCCATGTAGTGATTGATCCATGGGGTAAACTCTTCTCCCATTGATGGGCCTTGTCACCAAGAGACATAGGGAAGAGTCTCAGCTTGATGGCATCTTCAGAGACACCATTCATCTTGGTCAGATCACACAGCCTATCAAACTCATCCAAGTGATCAATGGGATCTTCACAAGACAATCCATGGAACATCTTGTTCTGGACTAAGGTAATCATCCCCAGCTTGATCTCGAAATTGTGGTTCTGGACAGGAGGTGGGACAATCCCTCTTCTTTGCTGGTGGCGGTTTGGTGCATCTCCAAGCCCAATCGGTCGAGTCTGCCTAGCTCGACCATTTCCATTACCCAGAGGGTTTCCATTACCCTCTGGTATATCCATAGTATCTGTAACAAGCACCTCTGACTGAACTTGTTGCCTCTGGCTCTTCTTTCTCTGTTTTCTGCCTATGTTGATGTCTAACTCGACCAAGTTCTCTGTTGATGAGCTCGATCGAGTTCACATACACCTGCAAAACAGTCAAAAACCCAGCAGTACAAGCAACAAAGGTGGGATAGTACTTGATCGTTCAAGTGATTTGGAAACTCAAATGCAACAGTAACAAACCCAAATGGCAACGGCGCCAAATTGATGATAGGATTTTACGTGGATGAAGTGAATGAAGGATGATATGAAATGAGGTGGAATGCAAACAGGGGTGAATAGAGATGAGATGGTATGGTGCAATCACAATCAATCAATTCCTCTTAACCATCATAGTCATTGAAGTATAAGAGGTTATCAATCCATAAGGGTGAGATGTTGCTCTATGAGAATATGCAAACACAAGAAAGTCAAGCCAAATGATTAAATGGAGGGATGTAACAACTAAACAACCTAATATGAAATGAAATGCAAGCAAAAGCAGTAAATAAAAGCAGCTCGACCAAGAGCTCGATCGAGTTGAGGGTCGAGTTGGTGAGTAAAAACAGAGGAAAGCGAATGAAAAGCAATAAAGGTGCAAACTTTAAGATGCTAATGCGAAGATTAGGGTTAAAGACAGGGTTTTGCAGCTAAAGGGAGGCTATACTTAATCAGTCTTGCTCTTAAACAACTTGTACTCAAGCTATCTCTTGATATTGAGCTTCTCAATGCCTAGCTAGCCCTTTCCCAAGGTGAAAGCTATCAACCAAGACTTGATCTCAGAAACAGGGGGTTAGCCAGTGAGAATCAAGCCTTGGAGGCCATAGGATCATTGCTCAAACTAATCCATCCAACCCCTATGAACTCCATTTCGAGAGCAAGAGTTATTGGAGCTCTTAGTGGACCTTTTCCAACGATTTCCATCACTTCCATGTGGAGAATCGCCTATGGACATACAAGCCAGGGATAGTGGTCATGTAGCCTTAAGGTTTGTCCAAAAGAGAGAGATTTCTAGGTTAAGAACATAAAGCAAGAGAGATTAAGCATAAACAACCTCTAACCTATCCCATCTTAAACCCTAAAGAGAAACTACTCACTACACATGATGAAATAAACAACCAAATGCAATAAAGGAGACATCAAAAGATAGAGGAGATAAAGATAAACAACTTTTATTGAAATAGCAAAGTGCAAAAACACAATAACAAGGCCTAGATCTAGGTTCTATGAGCAAGAGCTCAAGAACACAAAGAGAGGCTAAAAAGTAAAAAGAGAAATGCAAATACAAGATTAATTAAAAGGTGAGCCAAAGCTATGTTTAATTCGTGGCTCAATGCCATTTATAGTAAAGCAAACTAGGTTTAGGGTCAAAGGGGAGTCAAAGGGAAGCAACATTTTTCGGGTTTGACTTTGACTCCTGGGAAAGCAGCTCGATCGAGTTGGAAACTGGCCGGTCGAGCTGGTGGGTCGAGTCCAACCAATATCGTCGTATCTTCTGAACCGCTGGTCCGAATGACATGAAACCACCTCCAGACGAAAGCTAACTCAATTATCCACAACTTCCAAGAAGAAGTCAGACACTGAATCGTAGTGGAAACCCTTCATTTGATACGATACTTCGGACGCATCTCACTAGCTCGACCGAGTGCGGGTCCGTACATGGGGCAGACAGAGTCTTTCCTTCCTCAACTAGTCTCCAGTGATAGGCAATGTTCCAATTGGCTCCAAATGACCTGATTAAGACATCAAACGTGCACATGTATGCAAATGCAAGCCTAAAACTACTATGTATGCAAAAGAAGGGAAAACATCAAGAAATGATGCTTTGGGTGAATGAAACTATGCAAAAGATGCATAAAAGAAGGGCTAAAACCATGTAAAATGCAAGTACATCACGGGTCACTCACTCTGCTCAACCAAGAGGGGAAGGAATTCACAGTGAAATGGGCATAGATGCAAACCATATCCTAGGAATGACCCCCACAGAGGAGATCATCACTCCTCTTCAAGATCCAACCCCGCCTAAAAGGTAAGGTCAAGCTATGAGACCTAAAACAAGCTCACTTGGGAGGAATTCCCATGTCTATCTTGTACATTTTCTTTATCTTTTATCTCTGTTTTCTTGCTAAGTCTTGCAGGAACAGGTTTTAGGAAGAAGGACAACTCGAGGCACAACTCGATCGAGTCCAAGAGCAAGCTCGATCGAGTGAGAACCCGTCGAGTGGAGTGCTCCTGATGGCCGTCTACCCTCTCCAGACCACGACCTTGCCTCCCAGTTCTTTGGGGGGCACTGAGGTATCCAAACACCAACCCTTGTATATACCATTTCATATTTTCTTGCATTTGTTCTTGTTTTTCTTGGTTTTGCCCTCTTGAATCTTTCACTAAATTTTTCTCACACAAGGGACTGTGTGATTTAAGTTTGGGGGAGGGTTCAAGAGATGATTTAACCTTGTTTTCTTTGTTCTTAGTTTTTCATTTCTTTTGCATAGAAAAACCAAAAAAATCATAAAATTTTCAAAAAATCCAAAAATATTTTCATCTTTTTGCATTCATATTTGTTAGACTTGTTTAGGATTGCATTTTTCACTTGCATTGTTGATTTGACTTTGAAAACTTGTCCATCTTTTGCGATTTCTTGAGTGCCCTGTTTTTAGATTCTTTTGTGCATTAGGGTGAGATTGATTGAGCAGCAAGAACCATGTTTATCTTGATCATATCACTGCATGCACATCTCATTCAACCATTGCTGTGATTTGATGCATTTCCCTATCTATTTGAACCATAACTTGATCTTTAATTACCAATGCTTGCATTTGATTTCAACTCATGGCTACCACATACATATCTGGACATTCTTTACCTATTTTCATATCCCTTTGCTTGTCCAGATAGCTGATCTCTATCTTTGAGACAGTTACCACACCTTAAACCTAAGCCTTTTCATTTCAAACCCCATTTTATCTCTTGTGCGAATGTGAGAACCTTTCTTGGCTTTGCTTAGCATAAGGTGTTGTGTTTAAACCGGCAGGGGCAGTAGTTCTAGTTGTCTAGTTCTCTTGGGATTGTTTTCAGGCTAAGTTTGGGGGTGCCAACTCGAGCTCGATCGAGTTGGGTGTCAAAAACCAGAAAAGTGGTAAAAGTTGGGAAAAACCAAAGGAAAAAGAGTTTAGTTAAGTCCAGGGAGTTGGCAGTGTTTAAAAAGGGTCTAGTAAAGGTTTGGGAAGTTAAAAAAGGAAAGTAAAAAGGGTTCTAAGTAGAATGAAAAGAAGGCAAAGCCTCAAGTGTCAAAAAGGAAAGAAAAGTTCCCTAAGTGTTTAGAAAATCCCAAACCGCTAGATGTTACCTCAAGAAGCCTCTCCCTAGGAAGTTCTTAAAAGAAAAGTGAGCAAAGCTCCTCAGTTTCAAAGGCGAAATGCCAAAAAGGGTAGTTAGGATTTTGTTCTAAAAAGCTCTAAGTGTTGAACTCGATCGAGTTAGGATTAGGCGGCTCGAGCTGCTGTTCTTGCATCATCTTTGGTTCTAACACTTAGCCTTCTGCCAAAGCAAAGCCACTTTCTTGAGAGATCCCTGTTACTAAACCACCATACAAAAGAGACCCTCTTTGTCTCTTAACCCATAAACCCTTGAAACCAAATGAGTTGATTGATCTTGCATGTTTTTGGTTCACTGTTTTTGCTTAATGAATGTTAAAGGGATTTGCTGATTTGAATGCATTGTTTGAGTGACTGTGAAGTGGGATTGATGTTGATAAGCATGGTTAAATCTTAATGAATATCTCTCACCTTGTTGCATTCTAGAATCTCTAAGTTGGACATTTAGCAAATCGCTTTTGAGGACATGTTTTTAAGTGTTGAATCAACTTGTTTTCAAACCTCATCTCTTTCTTGTTCTATTTGTTTGCTTGAGGGCAAGCAAAGTTCAAGTTTGGGGGTGTTGATGTACTTGCATTTTACATAGTTTTAGTACATCTTTTATGCATCTTTTGCATAGTTTTAGCATCCATTAGCATCATATCTTGTTCCTTTTCTCTTCTTATGCATTCATAGTAGTTTTAGGTTGCATTTGCATACATATGCATGTTTGGTCCTTTGAAATAGGTCTTTTGGAGCATTCTGGAGCATATGGGACGTGAGGAGCATGGAAGGACTTGGTGCATGGACGCAGCTCAACTGGATACGCAAAGGAAGAAGGAGGAAGCCATCTTGAAGACCAGCTCGACCATCTACTCGACCAACCGGTCGAGTTCCTCAACTCGACCGGCCAAGCTTCAACTCGATCGAGCTGAGAAGTCAAAGTCAAACCCGAAAAATGTTGCTTCCCCCTTGACTTCCTTTGACCCTAAACCTAATCCTCTTGTATTTAAAGGCTAAGCCACGAAAAAACCACCAAGCTTTAGATTACTTTTGTTTTAGTTTCTTTTAATTTATTGTCTTTTACTTTTTGAGAGCTCTAATCCCATCTTTGTGTTCTTGAAGCTCTTGCTTCTTGAATCCTAGATCCTGGATAATCTCTTTGTATTTGCACTTGCTTATTTCAATAAAAGTTGTTTATTTCATCTCCTCTTTCTTTGATGTCTCTTTTCATTGCATTTGCTTGTGTTTACATTCATGTGTAGTGAGTAGTTACCCATTAGGGTTTGAGATGGGATAGATTAGAGGTTTCATATGCTTAATCCTTCTTGCTTATGGTCTTAATCTAGATCTCTCTCTTTTGGAAACTTAAGGCTACATGACCACTACCCCTGGCTTGTATGTCCATTAGGCGATTCTCCACATGGAAGTGATGGAAATCGCTTGGAAAAGGTCCACTAAGAGCTCCAATAACTCTTGCTCTAGAAATGGAGTTCTAGGGGTTGGATGGATTAGTTTGAGCAATGATCCTATGGCCTCCAAGGCTTGATTCTCACTGGCTAACCCCCTGTTTCTGAGATCATCCTTGGTTGATAGCTTTCACCTTGGGAAAGGGTTAGCTAGGCATTGAGAAGCTCAATATCAAGAGATACCTTGATACAAGTTTTAGAGCAAGATTGATTAAGTATAGCTTCCTCTGATTGCAAAACCCTGTCTTGAACCCTAATTCTCGCCTTGTTAAAGTCGCTGCCTTTATTGCTTTTTACTTCAACTCGACCCTAAACTCGATCGAGCTCGGTACTCTGTTCCCACTCGACTCGAGTCCTTGGTCGAGCTGTTGCTTACTGCTTTATTTACTTTTACTGCATTTCATTTCTTTTCATTTAGGTTGT